TCCTGCCCTCCCTGCTGGCCCAGGCCATCTCCCCGGGCCCCCACCGTCCTGCCCTCCCTGCTGGCCCAGGCCATCTCCCCGGGCTCCAAGGCCCTCTGCTGCCACTCTCAGGTGGGGAGGGGTGCCCGTGAGAGGCCTGACCGGCCGGGGCCCCTCACCCACCCTGTAGAAGGTCAGCTTTGGAGTCCTTTGGATGTGGGGTGCAGGTCGAAACTTCAGCTGCTTCCTGGAGCCCTGTGGAAGTCAGGCAGGGACGCCCTGGCACCTGTGCCTGCTGGGTGCACCCACGTCTGCCCCCCCCCCCGCTTCACTCCAGTGTTTCCCCTTGGACTTAGCCTTAGGGCTCAGCATCCTCCTCCTTGGCCACCCATCAGGGCTAGCCGCTGGCCCTCTCCTGGGCTGCTTCCAGGCTTCTAGCTCAGGCCTCTCCTTCTGCCCCGTGACACATGGGGGCACCTCAATCCACAGCGTGGGGAAGGGCTGGTTAGAGTGCCCCTCCCCCTTCGTCTCCAGGCCCGCTCAGCTGCGAGGGGGGGGGGAGCCGCAGATCCTCCTGCCCAGGCGGGCATGCGGCTCCATGTCCTGCTCCCTGCCTCCTCTCTGGCACCCTCCCTGCTCTGGCTTCATAGGCACTCCCAAACAAGCGCACACAGCCTCTTCGTCTGCTCCAGAATCAGGTTCAGTGTCAGTCCATGATGCCTGTAAGCTGTGTATTAAGTCACCATTAAAATGGTTTTGAGAATTTTTTCTTTTTGTCAGTCATGGGGCTTAACTCTGGGAGGGTCTGGGCGCTGTCCCTCAGCTCTTCAGCTCAAGGCTAGCACTCTACCACTTAGAGCCACAGTGCCACTTCTAGTTTTCTGGTGGTTAATAGGAGATAAGTGTCTCGCAGACTTTCTTGCCAGGCTGCTTTGAAGTGGGATGCTCAGATCTCAGCCTCCTGTGTAGCTAGGATTACAGGTGTGAGCCACCAGCACCCGGCAGGAAGAACTGGGGTTTGTATTCAGGGCCTTGTACTTGTTAGTCTAGAGCTCTACCATTTGAGCCATGCCTCCAGCTTGGCTTTTTGCTGGTTATTTTTAGAGATGCAGTGCTCTTCTCTCCAAGCTAGCCTTGAATCTCAATCCTCTAGATCTCAGCCTCCTCAGTAGCTAGGGTTATTGGCGAGAGCCACTGGTACTCAGCTTGGGAGCAATGTTTTGACAATGTAAAAAACCCTCACTTCAAAGACTGGCCTCCACCGGGAAACCCCTTCTTACCTGTGCTGGCCGCTCCTTATGTGCCCTGGGCATGGCGCACTGCAGCTCCTCCATGTTTGCCCTCAGCAGCAGCTCCTGCAAGGGCACCACAAAGCGCGTCCTGCCGGCTCCCCCTGGGGGGGGGGAGTGCGGGCTGGGCCGTGGGGGGGGAGTGCGGGCTGGGCTCCCCCCCAGTCAGCCTGGGCCGTGGGGGGGGAGTGCGGGCTGGGCTCCCCCCCAGTCAGCCTGGGCCGTGGGGGGGAGTGCGGGCTGGGCCGTGGGGGGGGTGCGGGCTGGCCCCCTGGTGCCCCACCCCTCCATTAGCAGATCCTGGTGGTACTCCTAGGGAGGGGGATGGGGGGGGCTACCTCAGCCTTCCTGCGGTTGTATGTCTTGACCATCTGCAACAGCTGCTGCTTCTTAGGCTCCTGGTAGGTGCTCTGTGGAATCTGGTGGGGTGGGGGGAGAGCAGACCCACGTCAGTAACTGGAGAGTCGGTCAGCAGGTGCCTTGCAGTCTGGAGCCGAGGGCAAGCGCAGGATGGGGGATGGGGTGGGCAGAGGGGGCTGTGGGTCCAGCGCTGGGGCAGGCATGTCACCTGGGGCAGGCATGTCACCGGCCCATGAGACCGCCAGCTCTGCTGCTGAAAGAACAGAGGCCCACCTGGCCACGTTGCAGAATCTTAACTGACCTCTTATCTCCTTTATTTGCATTACTTTTTCTTACCAACATGTCACTTACCGCGCGCGTGTGTGTGTGTGTGTGTGTGTGTGTGTGTGTGTAAGTCGGCCCTGGAGCATTAACTCTGTGCAGGTCTAGTGTCTGCACATCCCAGTGGCCAAAGGAGCCCTGTGAACAGGTGAGGCCAGGGAGGGGGCGGGGTTCAAACCTCCGTCCCAGGACTGCCATCTTGGACCTCAGAGGAAGAAGAAGAAGACAGCCACTAACATCCCACAGTAAAGGACAGATGGCTGTGCCTGGCTGAGCAAAGAGAGGGAGAGGTGACTAGCAGATTGACGTGGAAAGGAGGTTTGACAGGCTGAAGATCTGAAGTTGGGATAATTGTGGGGCTACTTAACAATTCATTCATTCATCCACTCATCCACCCAGCTAGCCACCCACCCACCCATCCATCAACCCACCAACCACCTACCCATCACCCACCCATCCATCAACCCACCCAACCACCTACCCATCATCACCCACCCATCCATCAACCCACCAACCACCTACCCATCACCCACCCATCCATCCTCCCACCCATCCATCAACCCACCAACCACCTACCCCATCACCCACCCATCCATCAACCCACCAACCACTTACCCCATCACCCACCCATCCATCAACCCACCAACCACCTACCCATCACTCACACATTCATCCACCCATCCACCAACCCAGCTATCCTCCCACCCATCCATCAGCCTACCCATCCACCTACCCATCACCCACCCACCCATCCACCAACCCACCAGCCACCTTCCCATCCATCCATCCATCAATCCTCATATCTACGGATCCATCCATCTACCCACTCGTATCTACTCAACCATTCATCCATATATCTATCTACCCATGCACCCACCCACACAGCCATCTATCCATCTACCCATTCATCCATCTACCCTACCATTGGTCAATACAAGTATTTACTAAGGATCTGTTCTGAGTTGGGACTATTCTAGCAGCATTAGGAATGTGGAACAAATAAGAGAGGTGGTGTCTGGTACAGGAAATAGAGAGTAGGCAGCTCTACAAAGTAGTAAACACTATTGAATGATATGAAGAAAAAGAGCTGGGGGTCAATGAGAAGGAAACCACATGGGAGACACAGTAGATGTGGTGGTTTGTGAAGTTTCTGGGCTGAAAGGATGGTGGGACTGGGGTGGAAACCCCTGGATCCCCAGCACGATCCCCTCCTGCTCCTGTAACTGCCCTTGGTTTTGTGGGGTCCTACACTGGCTTTGGGAAGCTGGGTGACAGAGTTTGGCCCAGGACCAATCAGGACACTGCAGACTGGGGCTGGTCCAATTAGATTTTTCCCCCAGAATTCTTGGCCTACACTGTTCTCTTATGCTCTTGTACACTAAGAGCTCAGGGCTGAGTTCTTAATACCATGAAGACTCTAGCCCAGAGATGAAGCCTATTGCAGAGGAGTCAAGGACAGAGAAAGTCACAGAAAAATAGAGCTGGAACCCTAATCAAACTATCCCTGGAGCCTGCCCTTCTTTAATCATGAAGCCAGTGGTCTATTGCTAAGTCAGTATGAGCACGTTTATCTATTACTGCAGCATGGGAATGGGCCCATGGAATGTTGCATGTGGACGCAACACAGACTCCAGGCTCTATTCCTATACAAGTCAGAGCCTGCAGCCAGCAGCTTCATGCAGCACCTGCTGGCACAACCCAGAACAACCAGGTGCCCTTCTGAAGGCAGGCAGTCAGTCAGCAACGGCTCCTGGCCTGGACAGACGCCCCTCCCCACGCTGGCCCCTCAGCTCACTCTCCCAGCCTGGTCATCCTGGGCCCTGAGCAGATGCCTGGCTTACCTGGTTGGGATGGGCCACATCAGGGATGGGCTCAGGTGCTGGAATGGCACGGGGCTTGGGAACGGTCAGGTTGAACTCCTTGGGGGTTGTGGCCTTGATCTTGGTCTTTGAGGGAAATGAGGTAGTAGCTGGCTCTCCCTCCAGCTGGCTGACCAGCTCCTGTACCTCTGGCTGCCATCTTGAAAGTAAAAACGGAGAAGGCCCTGGAGGTCACCAGGTCTCTCTGAGGGCCAGGTGGCGATGGACGGACGCCACTTTCCACTGGCCACCCCTTGTGGGTGCAGCAGAGCCTCAGGACCCCCTTCACAAGTGAGTGAACTGAAGCCCAGAGGCCCGGGCAGGGGGGTCGGAGACCAGAAGGTCCATGCTGCAGGAATCTGGGGCACTCTGACCATGAACAGCTGCTGGGCTGTGAGCTAATCTAGGCAAAGCAGATGACCTGGACAAAGGACGCTGGGAGCTGGTGATGGGGAAGGAATGCTGGAGGGCTGTGGGGGTGGGGAGAAGAAGGGCCTGCGTCCTCCCACACAGCCTCCATGGCCGGCTCTGGGGCAGGAGCTCGGGTAGGGCCTCTCAAGACGGTGTCACCCCACCACCAGCCTGTCCAGTGTTCTCTCTTGCAATTGTGTCATCTAGAGACCTAGGGCACAGGGGGGGGGGCTGGAGTGTGGGCAGGGAGGAAGACTCTCAGGAGGCCACTGCTGGTCTGGGCCAGGGCTCCCACCTCTGGGGCCGGAGGGTTGTGGTTGCCGAGCTGGCTGGCGAAGCCAGGCAGGGGCCAGGGTCTGTCTGTCCCCTCGATCCATTGGAGGCTTTCCTGCTTGCCGGCCCCAGGGCCCACAGAGCCACAGGACCTCCCTTGGCAAAGCAGAGCTCACTGCAGGGTGCAGAGCTGCCCTCACAGGGCTGTCATGTAAGAAGCCCTCTGCCCGTCTGTCCCAGGGAGACAAGGTGATGAGGTTCTCTGGGGGGGAGGGGTCCCCAGCAGCCTCCTGGAGCCCAGCCTCTGCCCCCCTTGGGCTGTGGGACTGGCTGTGCCTGTGACTGCCCTGAGCCTCCCAGGCTGATCTCTCTCAGGGGTCGGTCCGGTGAGCAGAAGGTGGCAAGCAGGTGCCATGCCCGCCGAGGCTGGAATGGGGTCAGGCGGCAGCCGCCCGGCCGGGCCCACCTCAACAGGGGATCAATCCAGTTCTTGGTCACGTGGGTCGCCTCATACACGAGGCTCCATTCATCCTTGATCCACGAGCACAGGTTTAGCGGGCTGAAGAAAAATCTGAGGAACTGAGCAGGAGAGTTGTGAGGGGTGGGACCTGGCCCACAGGGGAATCAGAGCAGGGTAGGGTATTCGGGGTTCCAGCCCTGCAGACAGCCAAAGACACCACCCATCAGGACCACCCCTCCTCCTGCGGCACCGTGGGAAAGGGGCCCGACCCCAGCCTGCCCGTGCTAGCTGAATCGGCAGTTGTGTTCCACCCTGCTCCCAGTGCCCAGAAGGCACACTTTGCACTCCAGAGCAAGCTGTGGGGTGGGGTGGGGTCTCCCCCAGTGGGCTCTGGAATTCCAGGAATGAAACTACCATTTTCTACAACCTGAGCGGTAGCTCATCACAGGTATTGGGGAGCCGGGAGACCCCGCTGGCCCTGGCCCTGGCCCTGGCTGGCGTGCCCAGTGGCCCTGTGGTGTCTTGGATGGCTGGAGCCAGTCTCGGTGGCAATGCCAGCGTGGTGGCCATCTGCAGGCTGCCTTCCGGCTCTTGTTCCCAAGTCTGACTGCTCTAGCTCGGGAAGGCGTGGGGCTGGCTCAGCCCTGCAAGGGGGAGCCAGCACCTCGGGGTGCTGCACGGTGACCCTGCCCTGCATGGCTGGGACAAAAGCTCAGCCACCAGCCTTTGCTTGGGAGGCCGTTAAAGCTGGGGTCCCCTGAGGGCCGCCTGAGGAGGGCCCATCCACTTGAGGGAGCACTGGAAACCCCTTCATGGAAGGCAGGGGTCTGACACAGAGGCCACCAGAACGGAACCCCACCCCAGCCCGGCCTGCACCTGTGGCAGGGAGCACAACTGGAAGAAGACTAGAGCTGTGGCCGGATGGCCTCTGACCCCTGCTGACCACCTAGCCTCCTGCCTCCTGCCTCCTCTTGGCCCCCATGCCCTCTGTACACCAAAGCAACTCAGGCAGCCTGCTCCCCGCACCCCCTGCTTCCTCCCCCTTTCCGGCTCGCTCTGGGGCTCCGTCCAGGCTGTCCTGCCCACCAGCCTGGGCACGGCAAGCTGTCTCTAGCTCCTTCTCAGCTGGGCTGCTGCCCCATCCCCAGAGCAGGCCCTGCAAAGCCACATTCCCACCACGGACACTGCTGCAGTGGAGGCACGTGGGAAATGTTCCCTGGCTGTGGGAGGATTCGTCAGCTGTGTGTGGGGGGGGTCCTGGCAGGCAGCAGGAGTCCCACAACCACACCTCCCAAAATGGTGGACCGTGCTTTCTGTGGAGGCTGCACATGGCGTTCCCCACAGGGCCACCACGGCCCCTCCCCACCCGCCCTGCCCTTCCAGGGAGCTCCCTTGGTGCCCCTGCATGGCACTACCAGCCAGATGCGGTTGCAGCTTTATTTACGAGCACCTGGGGATGGCAGGCCTGCTGCTGGATCTTCAGGACCCCGTGGGCATGATCTTCAGTCCTGCCGGCCTACCCAGCCTCCCCGGAGGGAGGGAAGACTGGGAGGGGGAGGAGGAGGGGTGTGAAGGGCTCACACCACCTAGCTGAGGACCAGCTGCTGCAGGCAGTGGCAGATCACTAACAATGGAAAGCCTACACCCTCCCTGACAACAGGAATGAGAATCAGATTGTCCCTAGGACAAGCGTGCATTCTCCCCAGCCGAGGCTGAAGCCTGATTTTAATGCAGGGTGAATCTACCAGGGTTCTCTCCTCAGACAGACCAGATAGGTGACGGGCTGGCAGCGGAGCAGACCCACCTCTGCCCAGTTCCTGGCACCAGCCCTGCCCCTAGCAGTCATGGTGGACTCACCTTGGATGTCTTGCTTGCGGACTGGGACTTGATGATGCTGCAGAAGAGCTGAAAGCCCAGCTCCTCCATTTGGAAGGTGGCCAGGTAGCAGATCACTGAGGGAAGAGACCCTGTGAAGGTTTCCGCTCTACAGGGGACTCTGGCTTGTAACCCCGGGGCTGGCGGGCAGGAGGGGGGGAGCTCTGTCCAAGGCTGAAGGCTTTAGGGTGTAAAGGACCAGCCAACGCTGTCTGAAAGCTGGGTGCTGGTAGCTCACACCTATAATCCCAGCTACCCAGCTACTTGGGAGGCTGAGATCTGAGGATCAAGGTTTGAAGCTAGTCTGGGGAAGAAAACCCCAAGAGACGCTAATCTCCAATTAACCAGCAAAACAAAAACAAAAACCAAACCCCAATCTCCAATTAACCAGCAAAACAAAAACAAAAACCAAACCCCAAAGTGGAGCTGTGGTTGGAGTGGTAGAGTGCCAGCCTTGAGTGAAAAAGCCAAGAGAGAATTTAAGGCCCTGAGTGCAAGGCCCAGCATAGTTACAAACAACCAGAAAAACTGGCTGGGGGCCTCTGCGGCTGCTCCACACGTTGCCTCATTTGATTGGCTTTCAGCGACCCCAAGGGCTCTGGGACAAGAGTGAGGTGATTTCTGGCCAGTTGTTGGCGCTGAGAGGTTAGGTGGCCGCAGCGCCAGGGCCGGGAGCTCTGGGTTTCTCTGAGGGGGCGTGGGGCGCTCCTCTGACCCCCAGCTGGTTAGCTGCCTAGGTCCACCTCCCCGCAGCCCCTGCCTCCTCTTCACCCCAGGGCTGGGCAGCCCCACCAAGGGACCACTCCACGTGCCACCCTGGCACTGTCTACAAAGGCCATGTCTGGAGCTACTCAAAGTGGGCAGGGCCAGGCAGGAGTGGAGGCAGTCAGAAGCAGCCTCAGAGGAGGCATTACCTCCCCACCCCACCCCAAACTGGCCTCAGGGGCACCCTTTCTCTGCCAGGCCAAAGATTGCTTGTTGAGCTGAGCTTTCCACGAGCCTGAAGTGTGTTTCCCCGGGGTGGGGGTGGGGTGAGGACACACCCCAGCCCCGCCACGGTGGGCAAAGTGATGGGAGTGGCCACTGTGTCAAGGGTCTGTGGCTGCCAGCTCGCCTTGCCCTGTACCCTGTACCGGGGACACTCACCCAGGAACAGGTTGTAGTCAGCCCACAGGGAGAACCGGCCATCTCGCACATAGAAGGCATCTACCACAATAGTCAGCAACTTCCGATACTCAAGGCAGCCAGAAAGAACTTCTAAGATGAAGGACCGCTTCTGGGCACTCAGATCCTGGAAGGGAAACAGCAGGCTGGGCAGGGGCCATCTGAGCACAGGACCCCCGGCGCTGGGCCACAGGAGGGCAAGGTGGGCCTGGAGGTGAGATAAAGGTGGGAAATGAAGAGTGGACTCGACAAGAACAGGTAGTGTATACATATTCTGGCCTGGAGCAGGGAGGGAGCAGAGGCTCAGGGTTCGATGGTGATGGAGCTTCAGTTTGGGAAGGTGGAAATGTGGAGATGAAAGCCATGACCTCACACAGCATGGAATATTCTTAATATCACTAGACACTTGAAAATGGCTAAAAGGAGCCAGTCACTGGTGGCCTGTGACTATAAACCTAGCTACTCAAGAGGCTGAGTTTGAAGATCAAGGTCAAAATCAGCCTAGCCAGACAAATCTTCAAGAATCTTATCTCCTTGGGGCTGGGAAGGTGGCTCAGTGGTAGAGCGCTTGCCTTGCATGCCTGAGGCCCTGGGTTCGATTCCTCAGCACCACATAAGAAAAAAGCTGGAAGTGGCACTGTGGCTCAAGTGATAGAGTGCTAGCCTTGAGCTGAAGAGCTGAGGGACAGCGCCCAGACCCAGAGTTCAGGCCCCATGACCGGACCCCCCCAAAAAGAATTTTATCTCCAATTAGCAAAAAGCCAGAACTAGAGGCATGGCTCAAGTGAAGGGGTACCAGCTATCAGAAAGCTGAGTAAGAGTTTAAGGCCCTGACTTAAAGCCCTAGGACTCGCTCAAAGCAAAAAAGAAGAAAAAAATAATTTAAAAAGTGAGCACATATACAAGTTTTTAAATGAAAATGTCTCAGGAATTCAAATCAAATGAACAAAAAGTTACTCCAGAGAATGATGCACAAACAAGGAGAATGGGCAAGATGTTGTTCTGTGCCAAAAGCAAGGGACGGGGCAAAGCTGAACTGCAGTCGGCAGAAGGCATCTCAGAGGAAAGCTGCTCCGAAGCAGGGAGAGGGAGGGAGGGAGAGAGGGAGGGAGGGAGAGAGGGAGAGTCCTCTCCTGATCCAGCCACTTCCCAGAGCCCCACCTCTAAACGCTGCACTTGCAACACACAAATCTTCCAAGGCCAACATGATCTGGGCCTGACATCTGTTAATCATTTTAAAAAGCAGTAAGGCCTCAAATTAGGTTTTGAAAAATAATTCAGTTTGAAGGAGAGAGAAAAGGAGGAGGTCTGGCACTGGCAGCCCAGCCCCGAGAATCTGCTGGAGACGGGTGCTGCCAAGTCTCTCCTAAGAGCAGTTTGCAAAGAGGTTTTCAGAGTCTTGTTTTCCAGATCTTTTGACCCTGTGATCACACTCTGGGAACCTAAGGAAGACACCCACGTGGAGATCTCCACCTGCCGATGTTTACAGTGGTGGTTGCTCAGCTGTAGGATGGAAGTAGATGCATCCATGGGTCCAACCCTCTCTCCCTACCACAGGTGAGTACAATACCGCCAGTAAAAAGAAACCACTGGAAAAGTTTCAAGGAGATACAAAGCAGTTAACACAAGTGGGAGTGTGGGCCAGGGTGTGGGGTGGGCAACATTGCCTCCGTCCTGGCCGCTCCCCTCCACTCAGCCTTCCCTGTGCTTGGCCTGTGTGCTGCCTGCCGCCCCTTTAACCACCTCCACCAAAGGAAAGGCTGCAGCTCACTTCTCAGGCATTCACATAAGAACGTTCTTCTTAGAGAACTAGTTATTGTAAAAACTTCCTTCTGTGGTCCATGCATGAAGCTAGCGCCTCGTGCACGCTAGGCAAGCTGAGCTACAACTGAACCACATCACTGCTCATCTAGAAATGTTGGGTGGGGTGCTAAAGGCTCATGCCTGTAATCCTAGCTACAAAGGAGGCTGAGGTCAGAAGATCACAGTTGGAAATCGGCTTGGGCAGGGAAGTCTGAGCCCTCTTATCTCACACCAGGCACTGGACACTGGCCTTCTTGGCTGCCCTAATTTATAGACACAACCTGTTTTTGGTGCTTGGACACTTGTTACCTTACAGCCAGTTGGCCTGAGGACTTAGCTCTCTCCCAGCTGCTCCTCTCTCTCTCTTTGGTCTGTCTTTTTGTTGTTGTTGTTGTTGTTGTTCTGGGGTTTGAACTCAGGGCCTGGGCACTGTCTCTGAGCTTTTTTGCTCGACTGGCATTCTACCAGTTTGAGCTACAGCTGGTTTTCTGGTGGTTCATTGGAGATGAGAGTCTCGTGGACTTTCCTGCCTGGCCTGGCTTTGAACTGTGATCCTCAGACCTCAGCCTCTGAGTAGCTAGGATGACAGGTGTGAGCCACCAGCGCCTGGCTCTGGGGGATTCCTTTTTTTTTTTTGGTCAGTCGTGGGGCCTGAACTCTGGGCCTGGGCGCTGTCCCTCAGCTCTTCAGCTCAAGGTGAGTGCTCTACCACTTGAGCCACAGCGCCACTTCGGGTTTTCTGGTGGTTAATTGGAGTTAAGAGCTCATGGACTTTCCTTCCAGGGCTGGCTTTGAACCGCGATCCTCAGATCTCAGCCTCCTGAGTAGCTAGGATGACAGGCGTGAGCCACCGGCACCCAGCTTGGGGGATTCTTTAATGTTGGAAGTCCTGTCATGTCTGTTATTCATAGAACCTCACAATGACCAATGAAGTCCTGATTGGGCTGGCCCAGCTCCCTGAGCCCCTACCACCCTGGCTTTGGCCCAGTCACACCAGCCCCTTCCATTTCCTGGACCTGCAGGTGCCCCCTGGACGTGCTAGTGCCCCCTGGCGGCCTCCACACACGGTCAGGATCTTTGCCTGAGTGTTTCCTGGCACAGTGGCTTCCTCCGGTCCTGGGTGGGCAGTCCTGGCCCCTCCTAGCGTCAGACGGCCTGTCCCACTTGTCCCACTGGTCATTTATTGACTCTTTTCCATGCTAGAAGTCACGTGGATGCCCGGGAGGAAGGGCCTAGTGCCATCCTTCCAGTGCTGGCCTGAGGGATCCTGGGACTGCTGGCCGGTGCCCAGGCTCCCAGAACTCTGGCCTCACCTTTGGGAGCTGTCCTTGGCAGGCTGTGTTTGCTTCCCATCCCTTTGCCCCAGCTCACCTAAGTGATTAGCATGGCGCTGGCAGGCTCACAGAACCTGCCCTGCCCACTCAGCCTGGGTTGAAAGGGGACACACTGTCTAACACGTGCCCTTTCTGCTCACCTCATGGACTTCCCTCCCAGCAAGAAAGCCTTTGCGCGTCTGAGCCCCCAGATGGTACCTGGGGACCCCTCCCCGCCCCCATCCTCTCAGGACCAGCCCTGAGCAAGCCTGACTTCCCAAAGCCTGGCAGCTGGGCTTGGTGCTGGCACTGCCGGCGGCCGGCTGGCACCTGCACAGAGGCCCCTGGCACAGCTAGGCTCCAGATCTGAGTCTCCTTTGAGAAGGGACAGCAAGTGAGGATGCAGCTAGCCAGGGTCAAGGGCGGTAGAGGACCCGGGAGCCGGCCAGCCACAGCGCTGGGCCTGAATTCAGCTGACCAATACCTGTGGCTGGCCGTCTGAAGACTGATGTCAGAATCCTGGGGCGACTGGACAGCCATCTCTCTCGCCCCTGCAAAGGTGCGGTCCAGTGGGGGTGGCCATGTGCCCCTGCAGGTCAGGCCACAGAGCCACTCTGAGAAGGGCTAGCAGATTGCTGGGTGGCTCCCAAGAAAACTCCTCAGAAGGAAGGCAGAGCCAAGCAGCACAAACCTGCAACTGCTTTCTTCCTCTCCTCCTACCCCCAAACCTGGTGTGTGAAAACAATGCCTGAAGCAAGCCAACCATTTTGAGGCTGTGAGGCAAAGGTACATTCTAAGGTTGAGTGGAAGGAAAAGAGGGATGAGGGTTTTTGTTTTGTTTGTCGTTGTGGCAGGACAGACCAGCTCTCCCTATCAATCTCCTGCAGTGGGGCTTGCAAGGCGTGGCCCCCTCTTGTTGGCCTGCTCTCCTTTAAGCTCTTTTACAAGCCCTGGTTCCATTTCTCCAACCTCACTAACCCCCCGCCCTGCCCTGCCCCAGCCCACCCTGCCCCCTTGGCGGCCAGGTCTTCCTGAGCTGGGCCTCTTCCTGCTCCCCGCTTTGGAGGCTCCTTCTGCTACCTTCCCAGCCTGTGCCTTCTTAGCCAGGCTCTGTCCCCTCTGCTCGGTGGTAGCGTGGTCTTTAACTCTGCTGGGTCTGTCATAGGGCCTCCCTTCTCTGTGCAACTTTCTCCAAATGTCCCTCTTCATCTTGTTTCCTCGGCATGGAGCGTGTGTCCCAGAGGTCATGCTCTGTAGGGGGGCCGGGGCTGCTGCGCTGTGTCCTGGGGCACCATCTAGCTGCCCGTCCTGTGGCCTGCTGACACTCTGCCCAACAGCTAATGTATCATTTCCTGGCACTGGACGCGCAAGCCTTGGCCTAATCAATGTGGGGTGTTCTAGCGATTTCTGACAGCTCCAGATGCGTGAGTCATCCAAGCTGGGTGGACACCAGTGTCCGGCTCTTCACCGGTGCTTCCCTGGATGGCCGGAGTCTCTCAGCAGGTTGTGCTGCACTGAACTCCAGCTCACATATGGGGCAGCTCCCTGGGTATGTCAGCTCTATGCATTGAATCATTTGCCCAGAGGTTTTGGGGTGCTGGGCTCCCCATGTAAGGACACTGTCCGTGGTCACAACATTGTGACTCATCAGTAACAAAGAGAGCATTTACCATGAATAATCCGTGCATTATTTAAAACAATCCGAACCCACGATCATCACCAGCCCCTTCCCTTTCATGCTGCAAGGAGACCCCTCTTCCCACCTTGGC